CGTCGAAACGGACGATTGGCAGTGGGCGTGAAGTGGACGGTTTATACATGTTGGATGCTCCTTTGTCACCTCAAGCACATTCAGCTTCATTTTCTAATATTGTTTCATCTAATAAAGCCCAGCTTATGCATTGGCACATGCGTTTAGGATATATTTCTTTTAGTTATTTGAAACATTTATTTCCTTCCTTATTTGTAACGTGGCAGTGTCAGATTTATCCTATGAAACATGTCATATAGCTAAACATGTTCGTTCCAATTATCCTGCTAGTAATAATAAATCTGCTTTAACACCTTTTCATCTTGTTCATTCAGATGTGTAGGGTCCTTGCCCAGTTACTTCTAGTCTTGGATTTCAATATTTCGTGTTGTTCACTAATGATCATAGTTGTGTTACTTCGGTTTATCTTATGAAAACCAAAAATGAGGTATACACCATTTTTAAAAATTTTATGACAATGGTCGTACCATTAAAAAATTCCAATCTGACCAGGGTACAGAGTACACTTATGGGGAGGTACAACGGTTATGTACAAAATTTGGGATTGAGCATCAGATGGCTAATGTTAAAACTCCTCAACAGAATGGTCGTTCTGAGAGAAAGAATCGCCACATCCTTGACTTAGCCAGAGCAATCTACATTGGCATGAATGTTCCCCAGTCACTTTGGGGAGATGCAGCTCTTACCGCTGTTTACAACATTAATAGGACCCCTTCTAGGATTCTTAACTTCGCAGCCCCACTCTCAATCTTACATCCCAATTCATCTCGTTTTTTTGATTCCTCCACGAGTTTTCGGGTGTGTGCGCTTTGTTCAGCAATTGGGGCAGACTCATACAAAGCTTGACCCCAAGGCTTTGAAGTGTATGTTTTTGGGCTATTCTCACTCTCAAAAAGGTTTTAGGTGTTACCATCCTCCCAGTCGTCGGCGGTTTATATCCATGGATGTTTCTTTCTTTGAGCATACACCATACAATAGTGGTTCAGTTGGTTCTCAGAGTGAATGGTTCCCATTGAATATAATGGATGATCACCTTCTTTCGCCTTCAACTCCTCTACCATTACCTGTTTCTTCTTCTATGATTCCTCCTCGTGATACCCCTCCAGCAGGGGGAATTGTTCCTTTTTCACAGGTTTATAGTCGGAAATAACAGGTACAAGCTTCTACTCCCACAATCGACTGCCCTATTCCTTCGGCACCAGCTCTGCCTTCTCAAGCTATTGTTTCGCTTAATGATCGCCCCATTGCTCTTCAAAAGGGTAAACGTTCTTGAACTTACCCTATTTCTAATTTTGTTTCTGATTATGCTCTCTCACCCTCCTATCGGAGTTTTCTTGTTTCTGTTGCCTCGGTTCCTGTTCCTTCTAGTGTTGCAGATGCATTAGCACAACCTTAATGGCGTGATGCTATGACAGAAGAACTACAAGCACTTGAGAAAAATCAAACTTGGGACATGGTTCCACTTCCTATTGGACGAAAGGCTGTGGGTTGTCATTGGGTGTTTACAGGTAAGCATAATCCAGATGGGTCAGTTGCTCGTTACAAGGCTCGATTGGTTGCCAAGGGTCATGCTCAGACTTATGGCATAGATTATCAGGAGACTTTTGCCCATGTTGCCAAGATGAATACCATCCGTGTATTATTTTCCATTGCTGCAATTCGATCTTGGCCTCTATTTCAGTTAGATGTCAAGAATGCCTTTCTCAATGGTGATTTGCAGGAGGAGGTGTACATGGTTCCTCCTCCGAGCTTTCGTTCTCCTGCTCATTCTTGTATGGTATGTCGTCTTCGTCGTTCTGTGTATGGCCTCAAGCAGTATCCTCGAGCTTGGTCCGATCGCTTTGGCACTGCTATGCTCAACTTTGGTTTCCATCAAAGTGCAGCTGATCATACCTTGTTTTTACGTCATTCAGGCGGTAAAACAATTGCTCTCATTGTGTATGTCAATGATATTGTTCTTACAGGAGATGATACTACCAGAATTGATGAGGTTAAGAGCTATCTTGGCTGTCAGTTTGAGATTAAGGATCGTGGTCCCCTACGGTACTTCTTGGGCATTGAGATGGCTCGCTCCAAGACTGGCATTTTCATCTCTCAACGCTAGTATGTTCTTAACTTGTTTTCTGCTTCTGGTCAGCTTGGTGCTCGTCCTGCTGAAACTCTGATTGAGTAAAATCATCGGTTGGCTGATTCTGAGGGGGAGTTGTTATCAGATATTGGTCAGTATCAACGACTTGTGGGGAAGCTCATCTATTTATCCATGACTCGACCTGACATTGCTTATGCCGTGAGTGTCGCGAATCAATTCATGCACTCTCCTCTTGCCCCTCACCTTGATGCAGCTATTCGGATCCTTCGCTACTTAAAAGGGTGTCCAGGCCGTGGTATTTTGTTTGCCAATCATGATCACTTACGTGTTGAGGCTTGGACAGATGCTGATTATGCAGGATCAATTTCAGATAGGAGGTCTACTCTGTACCACTATTGGTGGTAACTTGGTTACCTGGCGCAGTAAGAAGCAGGATGTTGTCTCTCGATCTAGTGCAGAGGCAGAGTATAGGGCTATGGCTCTTGGGGTAAGAGAGTTGCTTTGGCTGAAAACCTTGATGACAGACTTGTGCCTTCCAGTGTCGCTTCCATTCTCACTCTAGTGCAACAACAAGTCTGCCATTAGCATAGCAGCAAATCCCGTTCAACATGACAGGACTAAGCATATAGAGGTGGACCGTCACTTCATTCGAGAGAAGATCATCTCTGGTCAAATTTGCACTCCATTTGTCACAAGCTCTCAGCAGCTTGCAGACATTCTTACAAAGGGCGTCAGCAAGATTGTGTTTAAGAATGCATTGTCCAAGTTGGGCGTTTCAGATATCCACGCACCAACTTGAGGGGGAGTGTTAGCATATATGATACCACGATTTATGGTATGACTTACCGTAATAGCAGAGATTTGACTATGCATACGTTAGCATATATGATACCACGATTTATGGTATAACTTACCATAATAGCAAAGATTTGACTATGCTATAGAATATGCCATAGAATATGCTTTAGAATAAGTTGTGATTTGATTTAGTTTCCTTTCTTGTAATATAAGCATGTGCTCATTTTATCTATAAATACTAGAGCTGTGAATGAGTAATTCATATCATTCAAGCCTTTACGCAATTCTCTCCTTTATCTTCTTTTTATATATTTCTACTCATATGCAGTGGGTGTTGCTAGCCAATTTATGCATGACCCTCGAATCACTCATTTAGAGACTGTGTATCGCATTTTGTGATATTTGAAATTTGCGCATGGAAAATAGATCTTATTCTCTAGTAATGCACATTTGAAATTGGAAGCTTTCACATATGCAGATTGGGTAGGCTCAATTGATGAAGGACGGTCCACCACACGTTATTGCACCTTCATTGGTGGAAATTTGGTTACTTGGAGGAGCAAGAAACAATCTGTAGTGGCTAGGTCAAGTGCAGACGCAGAATACAGGGCTATGGCTCGTGGGGCATGTGAACTCATGTGGATTCAGACCTTGATGAGTATTTGGGTGTTGTGGATGATGGTCCTATGAGACTTTATTGTGACAATAAAGAGGCCATTAGCAATGCACATAACCAGGTTCAACATGATAGAACGAAGCATATTGAGATTGACAGGCATTTTATCAAGGAGAAGTTGAATCATGGAGTGATCTAGCTGACGTTTTCACTAAGGGTTTGGGTTCTAATTCATTTCATTCTATTGTAGGCAAGTTGGGCATGAGAAATATCTATACACCAACCTAAGGGGGAGTGTAGGGATATGTGGTAATATTCTTGTAATAAGCATAATTAGTGGGATTGCCCAGAATATTTATTAAGCATAATCATTGGGATTGGCCAGAATATTAAGTAAGCATAATCAATGGGATTTGACCACAATTATTGTAATTCAAATCCCACAATTATTGTAATTACATTTCCTGAAGAATATAAATATATGGGTGTAGAGATGTCAGAATTAACTTTCTACAACCCTTTCATACATTCTACTTTGTCTTCTTCTCTCTTTCTCTAATCTTTCCTCTCCAAATCCTAATCATCCAAAACCTTATAATTCAATTAGTGATGGACTAGCGTTAGAACCCTAGGAGTTGCAAAAAAAATGAAGTCGGAATGACTTGCATCTTCTTTTTTGGCTAGTATAAGTAAAATGCTAGAGTGAAGTTTGCTTGTATCTTTTGAAATTTGAAGGTACAGTATTTTGCTGGAAAAGGTTATGTCAAGCTTGAGATATGATTGTATTTCGAGATTGAATGTATAAATATTTATTAGATTTTGTTTGTGTAATCAAATGGTTTGCAGATGATTGGGACGTATTCCGGTTCATTTATACGACTGTGCAGCCATGAATGATTAGTGCAATGATTGCCACACCACAATACACTATAAAGTCTGGATCTTGGGGCATCATAGTAGAACTGTACTAAAATGCATATATGAAATAATTAGCATGATAAGGTATGCAAAAGTTTAGCAGGTTCACATTTCTTCACATAAAAATATTCATTAATAGGATAAGAAATAGATAAGGAGGGAAGGAAGAAAGCTCATATTTAGCTAACATTAAGGGGCAGCTTGTCCTATATACAACATCTGTTAAAATTTTCAGTCAGCTAACTTTAACAAGAGAGGAAAAAACAAAAAGAATGGAACATTTTAAAAAATTATAATAAAAAAACATAATATAAAATAAAAAGTACATAGCATGAAATGATTCCAATGCCCTTGTGGCACAAAGAAAGTACATTAAAGTAAGACAGTATATTAGAAAATGGATGCCCAGACAACTGGACACGTATAATGATTCATACTTCCAGTAATATTCATGAGGCCAAAGCCTTCATATTAAAAGGAATATACATGAGCAGATGAAATATATATGAACTATATATGAACCATAGCTTATGGCATAACATTGTACAGCAGTTCGATACAGAGTTTAGATAAACAGACCTTGTGTAACACCGAGATGAACTGCTCAGAGGTACCAACTAATGCAGCAATTGCAGAAACAGCAAGTTTGGATTGAGTGCGAGTTCCCTCAAGGCAAATCCTCTCCAAGAAAGGGTAAATATCACTAGAGGGACAAAGCACATAAAGCCACTCCAATTCAATAACCAAATAGGAATGGACAATACAGAAGGATGGTTTATGAAATGGGCAACAACCACACTCAACAACAACCATCACAGCAACAACCACAAGAAGATAGACATTGCAACTTCAAGAAACATGTTACAACAATTCCTCCAGAACCATATTTCATCCAACCATTTTCTTGGTTCCAACTTCCAACAAAACAAAAAATCCCAAAGTCAAAGGTGTAGTGTGAAATATCCAAGTTTCATGCTGCGCAGCATTAACAGAATGTGCACAATGGCTAAAACAAGCACATATAATATATATAAGACGGTTTATGGTAACAAATTAACACAAAGGCTACTGTCAGAGAACCATCAACAATTAAAGAGACAAAAACTTCGCCAACATGACCAAGTAGAGAAAGAAATAACGTTTTATATAGAAATCAAAGACAAGTGATTGACTTGAACTGCAGAAGGAGAAGCTACATCTGAACGGGCAATCTCGAAATTCAGAACTAAGATTCAAATTCATTAAATAATATGTTTGCAATGAATGGAATCCAAAGAAAATAATCATATGACATCCCTCTTGGATTATAACATCACACTACCACAATAGCCAATTTTTATCAACGCACACTATGAACATCCCTAGCAACATAACAAAGACCCTAAAAAGTTACCTGACTTTGATAGAAATATGGGGGCCTGCTTTTGCTAAAATCTGAATTAGCTCATCATTATATGAGTCATCTTCGTCCAATAACAACAATTGCAACTGCTTTTCTGACCCTCTCAGGAGTGAGGGGAAAGTGCTGATGATAGCCTAGATAATGTAAAAATACAATTTAGACAAAAAAGTTCACATCAGAAATTGTGCTTAAACTGGCATATCATAGCATACAAGATAACTAGAAAATGGAAGTATATGTTGTTTTAGGTGCAACAACGAGAGATTGGTAAACTCCTAATTTCACAGGAATTTCACAAATGTGCAGCTAAAGTAATATGGAGAGCTAGCTCTAATAGAGAAAAAGATATCTCATTCACAAAGTTTCTACTTGTCTGACAATATGTTCTCTTTATATAAATTTACAGGCTATAAAAGATACCAAAAGGAAAAAAACCTTTCCTTCATGGTGTCTCATACAAATTAACTGCACCACAAAACATCCTAAATTCACTTATCATAATGCACCTGGAGCATGGACTTGTGACATGTGCCTCATTGATTGCATAAAGGAACATTTGTTTTCAAACATATACTGCCACCCCCACAAAGTGTTTTGCTGCTTTACCATGGTCAAAAAATATGCTCAACAGCCTTATCTTAACAATCCAATATCTTGATGTTCTGCTTTATGTGGCACAAAATCTTTTCAAATACAATGGAATTCCCAATTTCCCCAGAAAACGAAGAAAATTTTCAGGATTCAATGTTTAGTTTTTCCTTCTTCTTTTTTCCTTTTTCTACCTCCCCTCCTCTAACCCCCCTTGTCTTTGCCCTTCCAGAAATTACTAATGGCCTGGCCAAACCCAGGTGAAAGAGGGTCCGGAAATTATTTTCAACCAGCAATTGATGAGCCTCGGTTAGAACCTAACTACGTCGTTGCCCCAAGCCCAAGGATTCAGGATCCAATGTTACACCAACTTATGAAAAGAATAAATAGAATATCTCTCAAGACATTTGTCTAACACTAGCAGGGTATTGCAATTAATATCTTTGGGCTAGCCAAGAATACTAAGCTATCACTATCATACAAATCACCATCACCAAGGTAACAATTGTGAATTATCAGAGCATCCCAATCCACTAAAAAGCAATTGCTCTTACCAGAAGAAGTTTCATGGAAGAAGCCTCCAATTCCTTATTTCCAAATCTGTCACTGGAAAGATGATCCAAAATACAACGGACATGCTCAGAACTAAATATATTAAACAAGCATTTCATGGAGAGTGATCGTAAAAACCCAAAATGTGGATGCTTATCCCCTATCTTCCTCAAAAAGTCATCCTGGAAAAGGAAACCAAAAATATATATATCAATAATATTAATACAAATAATTAAGAATAGAAAAGAAAGAAGATAGGTGCAAGAGTAAATTTGAAATAGCTCATACAAATAGTTTTCGATGATATGAAAACAAACAATTAAGAACATAATGAATGAGCAAAAAAAAAAAAAAGAAGAAGAAGATAGATACGAGATTAGAAATTTAGAAAAGCTCATACAGCTAGTTTTCAGCACACAAAAAATAAATAAATCAGAAAAGATGACCTACATCACTGAAAATATCCACATCATTTAAGCATTCAGTCCAAAATTAAGATGTTCTCAAAAGAAGTAACTCCCAACCACAATAGTAAAACATATAAATAAAGAAAAAAAAATTCTACAAATATAATAATAGTAAACATTTTGCTCTCCTCTTTTTTTTTTCCTGAATGGGGTGTTTTTTGTTTTTATATATAAATCAAAATGGTACAATTACAAAAGGAGGTAAAAAACCTCCATTACAAGCCAAGAAATGGAGTAAATCCACTTTCTAAGAAAAAAACAAACCAAAACAGAAATAACAAAATACAAAAGAAAGCAAAAACTGCTTTGTCATGAAAATCTCTGATGTTGAAAAAACCAGGAAAAACAGCCCAATGCAATGAACCAAAACTCCCATTTGGTCCAGTACTCTGCAGCAGATCTACAACAACAAACCCTTGCCAGCACACTGAACAAACACCAGAAATGAGACCAGTGAGACCAGACCAGAAAAAAAAAAACACCTTCCTCATTAAAAAATGAGAAGGAAATCTTCTAGTCTAATTTTGAGATGTGACAAAACCTCCCAAACAATCGACTGTGCAGCATGAGTAACTTGAGCTTGATCTCCATTATGCAAAACTTCGTTTCTAATAGCCCAAATTTTCCAAATAGCAGTTGAAAAAACTGAGCTCAACACTTTTGATTTTGTAGAAAAACATTTTGCTCTCTGGATTGCTTGGTTCAAACAGAAGTACGCTAGAGCGTTGGAAGTTCGGCACCACCCATTCCAAAATGGTTTGAGGAGACATTGTTGATGGTTTGTGGTCTGAGGAGACATTGGTGATTCTTCCATCTACATATTTTTGAACATGTGTATGAAGGGGAATGGTTTAAGGAGACATTTTTTATTCTTTCATCTACATATTTTAAACATGTGTATGAAGAGCAATGGTTTGAGGAGACATTGTTGATTCTTCCATCTACATATTTTAAACATGTGTAGGAAGGGCAATGGTCTAAGGAGACAATAATAGTTGTTTATAGTATGAGGAGACATTGTTAATGGTTTATGGTCTAAGGAGAGACCAGTTGAGTCAAATAAGACGTATTTGGAGAAAACGTCATGGTTATGTCTTAGCTAGTCCAATTTAATGCAGCCTAACATAGTCATTGGCTATGCATTTATAAAGACCGTGTTTGAGGATGCATTGTCCAACTTGGGCATCTTAGATATCCACACACCAACTTGAGAGGAAGTGTTAGCCGACATATGATAGGCTAGAATCATGGGATTTGACTTTATTTACGCATATATAGAATATGAAATGATGTTATTCAGTTTCCTTTCTTGTAATATTAGCATGTGCTTGATTCTCAGTTCTCGTGAATGGAGCTCCGACGGGTTTCTTTCCCAGTTCGAGGGGTTGGGGTCTGAGGCAGGGGCACCTGCTTTCTCCCTTTCTATTCCTTATTGTGATGGAGGCTCTGAGTAGATTGTTTAAGAGGGCTATTGATTTGTTGATTTGTAATGCGGATGTGTCCCAATTGAGATATTTGAAATGTATCTTGATTTGGTTCCAAGTTGTCTCGGGTCTGAATGTGAACGTGGGGAAGAGTGTTTTAGTGCCGATTGGGGATGTTCCTAAGATCGCTACATTAGCTGATGTTCTTGGGTGCGGCATTGGTTCTTTTCTTATTTCTTATTTGGGTTTACCCCTTGGTTCGCCTTCGAGGAGTGTGGGGAGATGCGAACCTGTGGTGGAAAGATTCAAGAGGAGGTTGACGAGTTAGAAAAAACAGGTATCTTTCTGAGGGTGGAAGGGTTACTCTAATGAAGAGTACTCTTACAAGCTTCCCTACTTATTTTCTCTCGTTTTTCTAGATTCCCTCCTCTGTAGCTAAGAGGATTGAGAGGTTGCAAGAGTTCAAGTATCATCCGTGTGCAGGTTTGCTACCCGATTCAAGTTGGAGGTTTGGGAATCAGAAGATTGGTGGAGAGGCATAGGCAATGGAGGATGGTGGTTGTGAGTCAATTTGGGGAGGGTAGAGGAGGGTGGAGCTCCATTGAGGTGTGTATTACAGGGGGAGTTGGGGTTTGCAAATCCATCCGGAAGGGGTGGGATGAATTTTCAAAACACATCAGATTTTGGCTCGAGGATGGAAGGAGAATTCATTTTTGGGAGGATCTTTGGTGCAGTGATCGCTTTCTTGCTCTTACTTTTCCTCGACACTTCAGCATTGCCACGGATAGACAGGCCATAGTGGTTGACTGTTATCGCCTTAATAGTGAGAGATCGTTTGGGATGTTCGTTTCACGAGGCACTTCCAAGACTGGGAGATTAAGGATGTCATTGGTTTTCTGAAGCTGTTATATCATCAAGAGATTGTGGGCAGTGCTTTTGATGTGACTGGGTGTGGGTCCCAGCTTCTCAGGGTCGCTTTGATGTTCAGTCCTATAGATGCCTCATGGAGGGGGTAGGGGTTCCTTTTCCATGGAAGGTTGTTTGGCACTCAAAAGCCCCTGTAAAGGTGGCTTTCTTTGCATGGACCTCTATTTTGGGGAAGATCTTGACCCAGGATAATTTGAAGAGAAGACAACGTGTTGTGGTAAATTTTTGTTGCATGCGTGTTAGAGATGAGGAAACGGTGGACCACCTTCTTTTGCATTGCCCTATGGTTAGGGATTGTTGGGACTTAATGCTAGGTTTGTTTGGGGTTCAGTGGGTTATGCCCAGGACTACCAAAGGGTTGATTGAGGCTTGGAGAGATTGTACAGTGGGGGCCCAAGCCCGGGATGTTTGGAGGGTTTCACCTTTGTGCATTTGGTGGTGTCTGTGGCTTGAAAGAAATAGGAGATCCTTTGAAGGAAAAGTGACTCCTATCTCTGTGCTTAAGTTCTCCATCATTACCACTCTTTTTTGTTGGGTCGTAGGGAGAAATTATAGATCCTTAGAGGAGATTGTTGATGTTTGTGACCCTTTTTATACAATTTTTACTTATCAAAAAAATATATATTAGCATGTGCTATTTGTAGTATCTAAAAACCGGAGCTGTGATTGAGTGTTCAAGCCTTATTCAAACCTTTACATATTATTATTCTCATCAAACCTTTACATATTTCCCTTGTATTCCTTTTATATTGTATTTCTTCTGTCTTCATTCCAGAAATCATCCACTCTTGTTCTTTATATAAATTACAAAGTTAAAACAAAACAAGGAAACAGATTTGAGGAATCCAAACTGATGCTGCTCTTCTTTATATAAATTACAAATTTAAAAACCCCACATTTAACAACAAAACAAGAAAACAGATTTGGGGAAACCAAAATTATCTAAAATGGAAAACACAAGTAAGATAACTAGATTGAACCTTCTAAAAATATAAGGGACTACAAAAGACAACTAAATGATATTCTGGTAAATTCAATACTATGTAAGGCAGAAGGATCAAATGTGGTATTTTTCAGAAAGTAGAAAATGGTAGACAGCAGAACTTACTCTGGTGGCCTGGCCGTTTTTAATATTCACTTCATCCAACAACTGCAGCAATGCAGTAAATATGTTATTGTCTTTTATTAAGTTCAGTTTATGAAAGCACTCCTCTGCTTTGGCAGGATCTGCGAAAGATGCCGACATTTTCACAAAAGAGGTTTTAATTCTCTTTTGCACTTCTTCAGAGTCATCTTCCTGCAGTATATACAGGATTTCATTAATTTAGAAGCAAAAGACAGGTGCAGGACAACACTTTAGATGACAATTCCCATTCTTATGTGGGAATACTGCCACTTCTTCAGAGAAAAAAACAAAGAAACTACACAGCATAAAGGAACACAATTCAGATCAAAGTTAGACTCGGCGGCCGAGTACCAGGCAATTTCAGCAGAACAGTTCTTTTGGACGAGAACCAAAACACCAAAGCAGGTCAATCCCCACCACCAGGCCTCCCTCCGCCCCCCCCCCCCCCCCCCCCCCCCTCTCCTCTTTCCCCTCCCTCCTCCCAAATTCTTATTCTCTATATTTCAGTTAGTTTTAGACTATGTCAGAACAGGAATGTTTTTTGGCACAGAATCTGGAAAGTAACATGATACACCACATGCTCGAAAACATCATACAATAGGAGTAACCATCATACACCGAGATACTTTAGAGAATGATTTTTTTAATAAGCACCACCAATAACATTGCTAAAAAGTAAAAAATTCTCACCATAGTGGAATGAGCAATGCTACTTCTAGATACCGGAGTGATTTTCTTTAACAGGTACTGATAAATGATGCAGGCTATATTTCGCAGCCTTAACATGAATTAAAAGCAAAAAGTTCTCTATTTTACTTTTAGAAATTTGTTATATTGGAACTAATTATGCAAGAACATAGAACTTAGTGAAGCATAGATTGAGCTATCTTTGTGTAACGACCCTTTAATTATTATTTTTCCTAAAATGCTCAACTTATTGGAGTTCAATCAGTTTTTAAGTTAGCTCTTACAAAGGAAAAAAAAAAAAAAAAAAACCAACCAAAGAAATAGGGACATATCGCTAAATGTGTCTACAAAGCACATATACTTATTTAAGATAATCATAACCATATCTACAATTAGATACCAATAATCCGTAACTTTTGTGAATTCATGTCTGATACTTCATATACATATTCAATGTTTGAAAATTAATTTTTCTAATTTCAAACATTTGTCCAATAATTCCCAGATATTCTAGGCGTGTCAAATAAGTCTTAAAACGAAGAGGTGCAGCGTTCATAACATAACTTTAGAATTTAATAATTAGGAAAACATAACCAAGGATTTCAAATGGTCGGACCAATCTTTAAGGAGAAGTGAGACATACCAAGGTGAAGTGGCATTGATTTTGATCTGAAGTCCATGTTTATAACTTGAGAGTTTAAAATATTTTATTGCTTAATTTAATATGACAGGATCGTTGCTTGGTGCAAGTGCAGACCGTGCAATGATCAAAACTTTGGCTCACAAGCGCAAGGACGATGGTTTAAGTCTAATAGCAACCACTTTGTTTAGAATAATGTCAATGATTAAATTAAAAGCAACCACTTTGTGCAAAATAATGTCAAAGATTAAATTTGCAGCAACCTACAACTTGACAAAACCATCATCTGGTATAATTCACTTCTAGATGGATTAAAAAATGATTGCTTGTTATAATGAATATATATCATTAAACACAATTTTCATGTCTCTTTTATATACAAAAATAAATAGACATAAGGGGATCCCTAGTCTAGTCTTGACCTGAGATTTTAAGGGATTCCCTGAAACCACAGCAAGAAATGCTTTCTAATTGGATTCTTATTATAGGCTATAGCTCCTCGGCATGCAGTTGAAGCTCCTGGCCTATTTGTTGATTATGGGGTTCCTTTTGGTCCTATTGGTAGAGCACCTGCCCTTGGCCTCGGTTCCAGTCTCGCCTCATTGCTTGGTGCAGGTTGAAGAAACTCAGAACGGCAAACATGAGAATGTGGGTTCAAGTATGGGAACAACCACTTCATGCAAGAAAAACAAAAGATTAGTTTTGTACCTATTTCGCCCCTCCAAGAACCCACAATTAACTGAATGATGGTTGTTTTACATGCAGTCATATCCTCAATCTATCCATATCCTTCTGTTTAGAGTTCGTCATATTAACATGAATTTATTGTGCTGTATCTATACATGCATCCTATATCCATGCCCATGCATCATAGCTGTCCATGCCACCATATTTTGGTACATGTTTTCCAAAACAAAAATCTTTAGGGTGTTACTGTGTTGGCATGTTCTGGTAACCAAGATTTTGGGTTATTCCAAACCATTTCAGCCAGATTCACTGAATTTGACAGAAGTCGTCAAGTACGTTTCCAAAAATAAAATGTTCAATAGATCAATTACACGTAATATAGCAAGAGAATAATGTGACTGGTTTCTCTGCAGTGACTCCGCATCTATGCCTCTAGGTTTTGAAATTTGGTGACAAATGATCTTTTTAATTCATTGCCATTTGAAACAAAATTCATTTAGTTAAAAAAAATTGTACATTTTTAATAAGTTTTCTGCTGGATAACCAGTTTACCCAATGAAAAATAGATTTGTCCCTACACATATGGGTAACAATTTGTTAAGGCGAACCACGCATAATATTTGATCTTATCAATTTTTGTGAGCATTTTGGCACCAAAGTTGTAGCCTAGTGGTGTTTTCTCACCTACCAAAGTAGAATGCCAAGGGTTGAAGTCCCCATGGGGGCAAAGTGGGTGTGTGAGTTTCGAATAGGAAAAAAATAAAATAAACTTATAGAGAGTCAAGAGACACCTATTTGGCACACAGCCATCAACAAAGCTTGCTTGCAATCCTAATTGGATCCACAACAATATAACAAAAAATTCTGCAGCAATCAAATTGGATTCACATTGATATGACTACTAAACTAAATGGATACAGATCTAGAAATGCAAAATTTCCATTGGAGAAACAGATGTACCATATGTAGGAATTAGCACATCATATCTTCCATAAACCACAATAATAATCCTAGAATAAAACTATTACATTTAAGAACTTGTAAATTTATTTTGATTGTTTCAAACTATCAATCACTCATGAACCTAATAATGACGCTAAAACTTTAAACTGCTAATATATTCTCAATTCAAAATCTTTGCAGACTTGACTGTAGTTAAATAGCTGGAAATATTGAAGATTATATGTAATTCAGCAATGTCCCGAGGTCGGAAGTCCTAAGATTTGCTAAAATTTTGAAATCTAACCTGCCAGAAAGAAAAATAAATAAAAATAAAAATTCTCACAACATAAAAGCATAACCACATTCTACATATGTACTCTAATCAAAGTAGCATAGAACTTCTATCAAATTGGATAGAGGAACTGCAACTGAAATGCATGATCTAGAACACATCAACCGTCGTAGTTCCAATTGTTTATGTTATCAGAAATGAACTAGACGTGTAAAAAAATTCGCAGGACAAACAAAAGGCATATTAAAGAAGTTTAGTATGGAACTGGGTGTTTCAACTACTACACCTCTGATTTTCTCCGAAGAGCCAAGTAAATTTGCATCTCAGTTTGCAACCTGAAATCAAATACAACTTGTCAAATACCATTTTCCAATCTAAGCATAACAAATCTTGACTGCCAATACCTTTGTTTTTGAGATAAAATAGTGTTCAAAGCCTTAGTATGAAGTTCGTTAAAAAGCGTGAACAACGAGATCCAGTGCCATGTCCTCTCCTCAATTGAAAGAGAAGCAGGAAACAAATCTTCTGCAAGCAAAAGCTCCATGTTTTGAGGCCTGAAGGATCATACAGGCAGAAGATTACAACTCAAGTTGCGCAGTATTGGTGTTGCATTAACCAGTAATAAGGTGTGAATAAGTGTACCTAAACTCCTTACAATCTTTATCATAACAAAGCATCAATATTCCACATGGGATCTGTTCCAAGCGGTCACTGATTGTCATGATACCTCCAGAACACTTGGTACAATAATCCCGGTAAACTTCCAGCAACTTTTGCAAGGCTTTTTTTCTAACAGATACCTTAATGGAAAGAAGAAAACAATAGTAAGTAGTCAGGTAGCTTAAAATCTAACATATGGAAGCTGTTAAAAGCAAAGTTACCTTCTTATCACGAAGTCGATCAGTAATTCGAGGTAACCGCTCAAGGGGAAAAAGTTTCAGGTTAAAAATTGCTAGATCACACACAATAGTCACTGCTTCCAGTCTGACTTTATCATCAAAATCTAGTAGTCGGTCTTGAAGTGCATCTGCTCAATTCGCAAAATTTTAATGTATGAGTAGTGTAATTCAGGTTTGAGAGATAAAAGAACCATGAAACAATTTGCATATAAGAACTGCTAGTCAGATTTGGGAGATAACAGAACCATGACACAATTAGCAATAGGCTTACTGAGAATTTCATCTGATTCTGTCTTTGATGGATTGGTCATGTAGAAAGCTTTAGCACATGATATGGCACTTTGTCTTACTTCTGGAGACTTATCGGAGAATCTTTTCAAAAACTCTACGAAGAGATGGCGATATTGCTGAGCAATATGGAGTCCAGGCAGAGCAAGAAGTCTTGCAAATAAATTAACAGCTTTTATCCGAACATCAACCTGATCAGTCTGCAAATAGAACAACACCCTCACTAACCAAAAAAGCGAGAAAAAGGAAAGAACAAAACAAGATAATAACACAACAATGTTCCAAACAAGCAACAAGAATTCCAGTATTCACTACATTTCAGTTGGCAAAGAGAATTGCAACTCGGCCAAATGAACAGAAGAGGAAATCATACCAACAATTCTTGACTCAAATTTGGGATGACAGCAAGAAGCATTCGAGGAGCACACTGGAAGATTTCAAATATAATTTCATGGTAACATTCTTTGATCTCGCTCCCAACAGCATCTCTGTCTGATATGCAAGACACTAAAAACCCACAAACAAAGGGCTCAAGCTCGTCCGCACAATTTTGGATGACTGAAACGGCAAGACGTGAAGAAGCAGTAGATTCACCCTGGAGAGAGGAACAGATGATCAAGAAAGAGAACCTTTTATAACAGGTTCTACCTCAAAAAAGAATTTATGAAATGTTTTGTTAGCATACATATAAAAATTTCTACACATCAAAATTTCCAGAAAGGGGGTACAGGTGGGATAATTATAATCCTCTGTTTGTTAGGATAGATGGAGAACTAAAAAGAACGGATGGCACAAAAGATTGAAAGATTAGTCTGCAGAAAGCAACAGTCTTTCCATTCTTCTGTTTGGTAGAGCAGGAACTGCCAGGAAGGAATGGTGGGTTCAGAGGGGAATTCCAACCCCGCCACCCCAACAAACAACACACACAGAAAAAACACTTTCTCCCCTCTTCTTTGTTTCCCTTCCCCTATCCTTACTAACATATGGAGGCTAACAGATGAAGGAAACCCAGTTCATCCCCTCCCTTCTCCTTGCTTTTGTTCATTCTGCAACTCTTCCCTCCTACCAAATGAAGCACAAGTGAACAAAAAGGATATAAATATGGTAAGCTGTGTGTAAATAACTCCAGACCAGCTTAGTAACAAGCTTGACCAAACTTGTATACATAGGCCCAAGCTAAATTAAGTGGCACACAATACATGGGAAATACAAGAATTTCCACCCTGTTGAAATCAAGTGGTAATACTCTCAAACTACTGAAGAGCAATTGCTGTTAAGAACAACCAGGATCCAATTAAAAACTGGGCGTAGCTTCTGGTCCTTGCAGCATCTGATTTCCCAAGTTTTAACGCATCCTCGTGAATATTGAGGTATCAATGGTAATCTGGCTACTATTCTAGTCATGATTAGTTCAATAAAGGGCCAGCAACCATCCACACTTTTGTCCTTTCCTTTGGCTCTCACTCTCACAAGTAACCACTTCTAGAACATCTGATTGAATAAAAATTAATGGCCATAATCCAAATATATCTATTCTAAAATTGCTCTATAAGCTGTCTAATCTCATCCAACTTCCTCAATTTGAATTTTCCTAAAAACCACCAAATTTGCTATAGATGCTCTCTCCCCATCACAAATTTCAAGGAGAGGAAATGAAAATAAAGAACTTAACCACAGACAAATATGACTAAAAAGTAGTTCCGGTGATCCGAAGACAAAAGAAAGGGATATAATGTTGCAACAAATGTAGCGAACAAAGAACAAAACAAGAATCACACAGAAAAGTAAACACGCCACTCACAAAGAACACGCAAATATAGGTGGTTGGACACAAGTTGTGCCTACATCCACCATGAAGATCTGGCAAAAGATTTCACAATGCGAAAATCAGGAGATTACAAGTTTCAGGCCCCAACCCTAGCTCTCACTCTCACTCTCGCTCTCAATCTCTTTCCGCGATTTTCGCTGTTCTTGTTGTCAGAGACTTATTTGTTATTACTTATATAACGTTGGGGGCTTGTGTGTAATTTCTGAAACTTGTTAGTATAAATACAATGTGGTGGAAGGATGAAAATATTCTTTCATTCTTCCTCTCTTTCCCCATCTTTCTGTCTTTTTCTCTCCTCCTCTTCGTTCTCTTCTTCTTCATCCTCTTCTACTTTTATTGTTGTTTTGATTGTTTCTTAAAGACATGGCATCAGAGCGTGGTTTGTAAAGCTCTAGGGTGTTTAGTTGAAACCCTAGGGCAAGTTTGTGTAAACCCTAGTGGGTGTGAAGGGTTTTGAAGAGATTCCAAGATGGTATTTGTTTGCAAGGAAGTAGTGTTAATCACATCCACATGTACTGCAGATCCTTTGGGCTTTTTGTGTTGTGTTCTTCATGTTGAATTTCTCTCTTCAACTTTTATATCTTTTAACATGGTATCAAAGCAGGTTTATCATACCCTACTCTATACTCTACTCGTCTCGAATTTTCAGATCGACTCGTCTTGGTTCTCCGGATCAACTCGTTTCGGATCTTCAGATCAACTTGTCTCGGATCTCTGAATCAACTCATCTCAAATTTACTCGTCTTAGACTCCCAACTACTTCATATTTAATTTCAAGTTGAACACTTGGGTTAAATCTTGTGTTCCAACTTGAGGGGGGGTGTTAGAGAATAATTATAGTAGTGATTTAGGCCCTTAAATCACTCCTTGACAGAATGTTAAGGTTGCTATACTTGGGCAACAATTTGTTACCATATTTTTATTTGACTTTGTGTAATTCCTTTATTATAAAATACTTGTAGAGCAAGAAATTTCTATTCTCTAGTTACAAGCCCAATTCACTTATAAATAGAGGTTGATATTGTAAACAAAATTAAGAGAGAAAGTAATGAAAGAGATGCAGCCCTTTGGGTTCATGTTTAATTTCTCTCTTCAACTTCTATATCTTTCAACAATCTGTTAATAAATTTTACTTCATGAGCCAAAATAACTTGATTTCCTATGTGGAAGGTATTTGCATCTGTTGTACCATCTTCATTGCTAATTGCTTCAGTTCCCAGCAAATTTTAATTTTATTCCATATTTTGCTCTTTTCTTCATCTGATTTTGTTGAGACAAGAAAAAATGGAGCTCGCTTAAAACCATGTTGGTCGATACTAATAAAGGCAACCATGGGTCTGTTAGGTGGTTGTCCTCTTGATGTTCCTATGGATCCAAATACAGAACTCATGTGAGGGTGATTTCTAGCAGATACCCGTGATTGGTTGCAAAAATTGATTTACCTCACTATCACTCGACATGATATCTCATATGCAGTCAATTTCGTAAGTCAGTTTATTGGAAGTCCTAGGCCACATTGGAATGTTGTTCTTCGGATTATCCAATATCTTAAGCGAGCTCCAGGTCTCAAGTTGCTGCAAATGGACATCTCAGGTTAGAAGGTTTTACAGATGCTGATTGGGTCTTCCCTCTCATTACTCTCCCCCTGAAGAGTATTTTTGGTTAAATAGGGTTGAGTCTCAAAAAAGGTCACATCAATACTCACAAAGAATTTTCTAGAGGTGAGGTTATAACATTTATACCCTTTCTGTTTAGGAGAGTACCCAACAAGCACCTAGTTCCAGTCACATTAGTAACCTGTGAAGACCCCCACGGATCACTATGAATCAAATAAAATGGTTTGGATGCTTGATATAAATAAGGATAAGAAACACGATGATGCTTTGATAATTGACAAGATTCACATTGAAATAACAAAGGATTTAAATTTTTGAACAGGCATGGAAACAAATGTCTTAAGTAAGAGAAACTGGGATGGCCTAACCTATAGTGCCATAACATTATTTGACTTTTAACAGAAATAGAAATATCACTACTACTTGCAGCTTGAGCTTGTCCACTCTTAAAGATTTCATTATCAAAATAATAGAGTCCATCAACCATCCTAGCACTACCAATCATCTTCCCCGAATATAGGTCCTGAAATTCACAGTGAGAATCAAGAAATTTGACAACACAGTTAGAATCCTTGGTGAGTTTACTAACTGATAAAAGATTGCATGAAAGGTTAGGCACATGAAGGACAGATTTTAAAACAAGGTTTTCGGAGACAACTATAGAACCTTTTCCTGCAACTGGAGACAAACTACCATCAGCAATACGAATTTTTAAGTGACCAGAACTTGGAAAATATGTACTAAACAAATGTGATAAACTAGTCATCTGATTAGATGCACCAGAATCAATGATCCAAGGTGCCGGATTTAAAGAACTAGTGAAAGCACTTAAAGAGCTACCTTTTGGGGCAAGAGAACCTGAGGAGACACTTGAAACCTGAGTTTGGTTCAGCAGTTTGGAGAGATGATCAAGCTGCTCCTTACTGAATGGAGATGTCTCGGTTTCAATAGTAGCCTGCATTCCACGCCCATTCTTGTCTCCAAATATGCCTACCTTCCAATTTGCTGGTATTTCATGTAGTTTCCAGCATGTTTCTCGCGTGTGCCTTGGTTTGTTACAAAAATCACACCAGGTCTTGGTTTTCTCTTCAATCTTCCGTTGTGGGTGATTTGTTGGTTTTAGATTAACTGCAGTTGCTGCCATTTCAGTCGTCGTTACATTAAATGCATAGTTCTCACTATGAGTGCTAGAGGATTTCTTTCCCATCATCACCAACCTACAGCTTTCTTCCCTCCCAACTTCCGAGAAGACTTCTCTAGTGGTAGGCAGTAGCTCTTTGCCTAGAATGCGCCCTCTCACTTCGTCTAACTCAGCATTGAGTCCAGCCAAAAATTCAAATACACGGTCCTTCTCAACTGTTTTCTTGAACTGGGCACTATCACCTGCACCCTTCCATTCAAAATCATAAAAGAGGTCAAGTTCTTGCCACAAACCTTGTAATATGTTGTAATACTTTGTAACTGATCTCCTTGTCTTGTTTCTCGGATCCTTGTTTTAATTTCATAGACTTGTGCGGAATTACCTAAGTCTGAGAATGTCTCACTCATTGCGTCCATAATTCTTTGGCAGTGGAGAGAAACATTAATGTCTGGCCCATCTCCGATTCCATGGAGTTCACTAGCCATGACAGAATCATGGAATTTTCTGCATCCCAAACGGCATATGCTGGATCATCTTCCTTTGGGGCCTGTTTTGCACCAGTTAAATAACCAACCTTCCCCCGCCCTTGGACGAACAACTTTACAGATTGAGACCACCGTAGAAAATTTTGTCCATTCAACCGATGAGTGGTAATTTGGAGGATTGGGTTGTCACCTGAACCGGATGAAGTGATCTGGGATTTCCGTGCATTTGAAGAATCAACCGAAATTTCCTCAGACATTGCGGATTTAACCAAAGAAATCGTCCAGAAACGACGAAGAGGAATAGAAGAATAAATCTTCTATAATTCTGGTATAAACGACCAGAATTAACGATGAATGATTGCTGATTTTATCGAATAATCAGCAGAACAATGGAGTAATTTACCGCCCTAGTAAGGGCGGCTCTAATACCATGAACACAAAGGTGAAAAAGAATAAAATTTGATATTCTCTTTTCATATCACATATGTTAGTTTACAGGCCTATATATATATATCTAAGTGTATT